TACCATCAACACAGTTAATTTTGTCATAACATTTTCATAATTTACTGACGCGAAATAATTTGCCGATAATTACAAGTCAAAACAGTTCAGCAGTTGACGCCACTCAGTTACCAGGACAACATAACACTCAATTATATTATACTGAATTATAGGCCAAATAATCATATTATACTAAATTATAGACCAAATTATCACAAAGAATTATAGGTCAAATTATCACTAAAAATTATAGGCCAAATTATCACTAAAAAATTATAGGTCAAATTATCATATACTGAATCATAGGCCAAAGACAGAGAGATCCTTACCCTTTCTTCCCCCGACCTGACCTTAACCATATCCTGACCTCAAAACACCCATCAGCTGACCCCTTAACCCCCCCCCCCGCCTCGAGCATCCTGGGGACAAATTAGGGTCGATCTATACCGACGGGCCCTTAATGTGTGCCAATAAGACCCTACGTGTCCCGATAATAGTGTCTGGGTCATGACCTACTGTGCTCATCCCAGGGTATAAGGGTATCTCTCTCACAATCCCAGTTAGAATCAGGTCATCCCAGCTACCCAGCAGAGAATCCCTCCCATCCCAGCTACCCAGCAGAGAATCCCTCCCATCCCAGCTACCTCCAGAGAATCCCCCTCCCATCCCAGCTACCTCCAGAGAATCCCCCATCCCAGCTACCTCCAGAGAATCCCTCCCATCCCAGCCACTCCAGAGAACCTCCCATCCCAGCCACCTCCAGAGAATCCCTCCCATCCCAGCTACCTCCAGAGAATCCCATCCCAGCTACCCCAGAGAATCCTCCCATCCCAGCTACCTCCAGAGAATCCCTCCCATCCCAGCTACTCCAGAGAATCCCTCCCATCCCAGCCTACCTCCAGAGAATCCCTCCCATCCCAGCTACCTCCAGAGAATCCCTCCCGGCTAGGCTAACAATATACCAGGAGTGCTGAAAAATCACAGCAATATAAACTTTTACCTGAATTAATTAATGAGAGAGAAAAAAAAAATATTGCTCAGGGAAGTATAACCCACAAGTCAAGTCAGTGAGGAGAGGCTGACAAACACATTACAACAATAACAACAACAAGAACAATAACAACAATAACAACAACAACAACAAGAACAATAACAATAATAATAATAATAATAATAATAATAATAATAAACAAAAATCCCCATCAATATCCCAAGGCTAAAAATCCCCCTCATTTGCTGCCCATTATAAAATCAAATTAGCTTTATGGCAGCTAATTCTCACGGCGATTTCCCAGCTAACGACGCGTTCAACGAGGGTGATTTTTTTAAGGAGAGCTAAAAGACAGTTTTCCTCTGAGGCTATTTCCCTATAAGAGCTAATAAATGTCGGTTCCTTTAGCTTTTATAGCGAGGGAAAAAAAAAAGCTATGTTCCTACCATCAAGTTCCCCCCCCCCCTTTACCTTAACTTAAAGTAGTGATGTTTATGTGTCTGTCTGCCTGTCTGTCTCGTAAATATATACAAACATAGATAGACGTCAGAATGAAAGACTCTCTCTCTCTCTCTCTCTCTCTTCTTCTTCCTCCTTTTCCTGTTATCCATCACTCTCCTCCTCCTTGCCAACCATTACCTTCTTCTTCCTCCTCCTCTTCCTACCATCCACCATCCTCTCTCCTCCTCCTCTTCCTACCATCCATCATCCTCTCTCCTCCTCCTCTTCCTACCATCCATCATCCTCTCCTCCTCTTCTTCCCTACCATCCATCATCCTCTCTCCTCCTCTTCCCTACCTCCATCATCCTCTCCTCCTCTTCCTACCATCCATCATCCTCTCTCCTCTCTTCCTACCATCATCATCCTCTCTCCTCCTCTTCCCTACCATCCATCATCCTCTCTCCTCCTCCCCTACCATCCATCATCCTCTCCTCCTCTTCCACTCCATCATCCTCTCTCCTCCTCTTCCTACCATCCATCATCCTCTCCTCCTCTTCCTACCATCCATCATCCTCTCTCCTCTCCTCTTCTACCATCCATCATCCTCTCTCCTCTCTTCCTACCATCCATCATCCTCTCTCCTCCTCTCTTCCCTACCATCCATCATCCTCTCTCCTCCTCTTCCTACCATCCATCATCCTCTCTCCTCCTCTACCATCCATCATCCTCTCTCCTCCTCTTCCCTACCATCCATCATCCTCTCTCCCTCCTCTTCCTATCCATCATCCTCTCTCCTCCCTCTTCCTACCATCCATCTTCCTCTCTCCTCCTTTCCCACCATCCCATCTTCCTCTCCTCTCTTCTACCATCATCATCTCTCTCCTCTCTTCCTACCATCCATCATCCTCTCTCCTCCTCTTCCACCATCCATCACCTGTCTCCCTCATCCACCATCCATCTTCCTCTCCCTCCTCTTACCACCATCCATCATCCTCTCTCCTCCTCTTCCTACACCATCCATCATCCTCTCCTCCTCCCCACCATCATCTTCCTCTCTCTCTTCTACCATCATCATCCTCCTCTCTTCCTCCTCCTGTCACCCATCATCCCCCCTCTGTCACACAATTAACACCAGTCTCCTCATCACCAACACCAGTCTTCACCACCAACACCAGTCTCCTCATCACCAACACCAGCCTCCCCCATCCCCAACACCAAATTCCCCCATCACCAACACCAGTCTCCCCATCACCAACAATTCACAGTCTCCTATCACCAACACCGTCCTCATCACCAACAACAGTCTCCCCCATCACTCACAACACCAGTCTCCCTCACCACCAACACCAGTCTCCCCATCACTAACACCAGTCTCCTCATCACCAACACCAGTCTCCCTCAACACCAACACAAGTCTCCCTCACCACCAACACCAGTCTCCCTCATCACCAACACCAGTCTCCCTCATCACCAACACCAGTCTCCCTCATCACCAACACAAGTCTCCCTCATCACCAACACAAGTCTCCCTCAACACAACAAGCTTCAACACACTCCAACACCTGTCTGCCTCCCTCACTTCCACCACCATCACCCATCAATTCACCGGGAAAATAAAACAAACTTCACCTAAAAATAAAACCTTAAATAAAACCAACTAGAAAAAATAAACCTTTTCCTCATAGTAAAACTTCATCATGTAGAAATAAACCCCAGACAAAATAAAACTGACTAAAATAAAACCAGTTGAAAAATAAACCTAAAAAAAAAATCACCTGAAAATTAAACCCGACAAAAATTAAACTTCACCTGAAAAATAAACCCGAGAGGAAATTAAAACTTCACCTGTAAAACTTGCCGCCATTACTGAACTGACTCTCATTAACTTCCCAAAGGTGACTCGATCTCTCTCAGCTCTCGTCTCTCGCAGCTCTCGTCTCTCTCATCTTGAATGTAAATAAAGGAGTGATCCGGGAGGGGTTTTCTCTTACTTTATGGGGGGGAGGGTAGGGGGTAGGTGAGGGGGGAGGGGTAGGTGAGGGGGGGAGGGGTAGGGGGTAGTGGGAGGGGGAGGGGTAGGGGGGGTAGGTGAGGGGGGGGTGAGGGGAGGATTGGGAGGAAGGGGGTGGGGTGTGGGGAGGAAGGATGGGTGTGTGAGGGGGGTAGGGATGTGGGAGGTAAGGAGGGTGATGGGGGGAAAAATGGGTGGGAGAAGAGGAAGTGGGGGGGAGGGGGAGAGTGAGTAGGAGGAAGAGGAGTAACAAGAGAAAAAGGTAGAGGAGAAGAATAAGACGAGGAGGAAACACAAGAACAACATTAACAAGAGAAGGAAGAAAGGAGAAGAAGAAGGAAGAAGAGGAGGAGGAGGAAGAAACTCAAGAACAATAACAAGAGAAAGAAAGGGAAGAGAAGGAAGAAGGAAGAGAGAAGGAAGAAACTCAAGAACACCAACAAAAGGAAGAAAGGGAAGAGAAGGAAGAAGGAAGAGAAGGAGGAAGAAGGAAGAGAACGAAGGAGGAAGAAGGAAGGAGGAGGAAGAAGAGGGTACAGGGAGAAGGAATTATACTGTAACTTTTTCCTTTTAAATAGGGTTCGAAAAAGTGACGTCACAAAACTTTATACGAGGAAAAATTAAAGAGGGCTTCTGAGTTGAGTGTGTGAGGACGAACCCAGGTGTGTGTGTGTGTGTGTTAAGAATGTGTTAGGTGTGTGTTAAGAGTGCGTTATGAGTGCTGTAAGAGTGTGTTAAGTGCGTGTGTGTTAGTCGTGGGCTTCAAATCACCCACAAGAATTCGTCAATGGGTAACAACACACTCTGATTAATCCCTCCACACACACACACACACACACACAGACACACACACAGAGACACACACACACACACAAGCAGAGACAGACACACACACACGCACGCACACACACGTTCAATGTTCTGGGTTTCGATAAACACCCAAGTATCCCAAAACAAACCTCCCTACCTAAGATACCTTCCACTCCCCAGGTCAATCTCCCACTCCCCAGGACAATTTTCCACTCCCCAGGTCAATCTCCCACTCCCCAGGCCAATCTCCCACTCCCCAGGTCAATCTCCCACTCCCCAAGACAATTTTCCACTCCCCAGGTCAATCTCCCACTCCCCAAGACAATTTTCCACTCCCCAGGTCAATCTCCCACTCCCCAGGACAATTTCCTACACAGACCAGAGGGGAGGAAAGGTCATGTTGTGTGTGGGTGATATGGTCATCGACTCCATGTTACTTAAATTACCTTTCGTCTCTGGTGTTACCCCGTTATAGGCCATTGCTCTTTACTTATATACTTACAACATTAAGCATACGGTATTATAATCAAGAGTTAAACAATTACTATCATCACAAATACTACTGCTACTATCATCACTACAGTATTACTATCTACACTACCATCACTATCCATTCTCAAACAATAATCTGAACTATTTTCAATCAATAAAAATTGAACTAAACTTAATATTTATCTAAACATCGACACCTCTATTATGTAAACAAGAGCTGGTTTTATTTTTCCCAGTGCAAGGAACCTAATACTAAATACACTGTTCTCTTCCAGGATGAACAAGGAAACTGCCAGTAGTTGACCTGTCCCGAGATCGAGGTCAAAGAGAAGGTCAAGGAAGGTCAAATAAGGTCAAATATCAGATGAGCGCCAGTCCTAATAGGCCCCAATCTCTCATCGTGACCCCCACCACAAGTCAACTGATGTACATATAATACGATAATGCTTCATCTTTACACACACACACACACACACACACACACACACACACACACGTATTTATACACATTCAGACATACTCTCTCTCTCTCCCCCCCTACACACACACTATCAGCTACACGCTCATGAAATCCCTGGGATATATATATAGAGAGAGAGAGAGGAACCGAGGAGCCATCAAAGGAGAGTGGTGGTGGGGTTGGTATGTAAGGGGTGGTGTGTAAGGGGTGGTGTGTAAGGGTGTAAGGTGGTGTGTAAGGAGGGTGGTGTAAGGGGTGGGTGTGGCGGTGGTGGTGTAAGGTGTGTAAGGGTGGTGTGTAAGGAGTGGTGTGTAAGGTGGTGTGTAAGGGTGGTGTGTGTGTGTGTAAGGGGTGGTGTGTAAGGGGTGTGTGTGTGTGTAGGGGTGGTGTGTAGGGGTGGTGTGTGGTGTGTGTGGTGGGGGTGGTGTAAAGGGTGTGTGTGGGGTGGTGTAGGGGTGGGTGGTGTAGGGGTGGTGTAGGGGTGGGGTGGGTGTGTGTGTGTAGGGGGGTGGTAAAGCGTGGGGGGTGTGTGTGTAGGGGGGTGGTGTGTAGGGGTGAGGGTGTAGGGGTGGTGTGGGGGGTGGTGTGTGGGGGGGTGGTGTGTGGGGGTGTGGGGGTGGTGTGTGGGGGTGGTGTGTGGGGGTGGTGTGGGGGTGGTGTGTGGGGTGTGTGTAGGGGTGGGGGGTGGTGTGTGGGGTGGTGTGTAGGGGTGGTGTGTGGGGGTGGTGTGTAGGGGTGTTGTGTAGGGGTGGTGTGTGGGGGTGTGTGTGGGGGGGTGAGGGTGTAGTGGTTGGTACAGTATATGGTCGGGGTTAATGTTGGCAGTGGTGGAAGGTGTAGTGGTGGAGGAGGAGGTGGGGAGGAGGAGGAGGTAGAGGAGGAGGTGGTGGTAGAGAGGAGGTGGTGGTAGAGGAGGAGGGTGGTGGTAGAGGAGTAAGAGGTGGTAGAGGAGGAGGGGTGGTGGTAGAGGAGGAGGAGGTGGTGGAGGAGGTGGTAGGAGGAGGTGGTGGGGAGGAGGAGGTGGTGAGGAGGGAGGTGGGGTGGTAGAGGTGGTGGTAGAGGAGGAGGAGGAGGTAGGGAGGAGGAGGTGGTGAGGAGGTGAGGTAGAGGAGGAGGAGGTGAGGGTAGGAGGAGGAGGAGGTGGTGGTGGTGGTGGTGGTGGTGGTGGTAGAGGAGGTGGGGTGGTGAGGAGGCCGTCGTGTGATCAAAGCCCCAAGGTCCACTACCTCCTGTCCCCACAGTCACTACCCCCTTGTTCTACTGATCACATCTGCCCTAACACTGATCATGTCTGCTCTCTCTGATCACATCTGCCCTAATACTGATCATGTCTGCTCTAACACTGATCACATCTGCGCTAATACTGATCACGTCTGCTCTAACACTGATCATATCTGCCCTAATACTGATCAGGTCCTTGTACTGATCACTTGTGGCAGCGGAGTTTCTTCAAAAATGTGGAGGACACTCTTACCTGCCACTACAAGACAGTCAGACAATCTTACTACAAGACAGACAGACAATCTTACCTGCCACTACAAGACAGACGAGTCATTACCTGCCACTAAAAGACAGACAGACAATCTTTGCTACGTCTTACCTGCCACTAAAAGACAGACAGACAATCTTACTGCACTACAAGACAGTCAGACAATCTTACCTGCACTACAAGACAGTCAGACAATCTTACCTACCACTACAAGACAGTCAGACAATCTTACCTGCCACTAAAAGACAGACAGACAATCTTACCTGCCACTACAAGATAGTAGACAATCTTACCTGCCACTACAAGATACAGACAATCTACCTGCCACTAAAGACAGACAGACAATCTTACCTGCCACTAAAAGACAGACAGACAATCTTACCTGCTACTACAAGACAGTCAGACACTTACCTGCCACTACAAGACAGTCAGACAATCTTACCTACCACTACAAGACAGTCAGACACTCTTACCTGCCACTACAAGACGACAGACAATCTTACCTCCACTAAAAGACAGACAGACAATCTTACCTGCCACTACAAGACAGTCAGACAATCTTCCCTGCCACTAAAAGACAGACAGACAATCTTACCTGCCACTACAAGATACAGACAATCTTACCTGCCACTACAAGATACAGACACTCCTACCTGCCACTAAAAGACAGACAGACAATCTTACTCTGCCACTACAAGACAGTCAGACAATCTTACCTGCCACTACAAGACGAGTCAGACAATCTTACCTACCACTACAAGACAGTCAGACACTCTACCTGCCACTAAAAGACAGACAGACAATCTACCTGCCACTACAAGACAGTCAGACAATCTTACCTGCCACTACAAGACAGTCAGACAATCTACCTACCACTACAAGACAGTCAGACACTCTTACCTGCCACTAAAAGACAGACAGACAATCTACCTGCCACTACAAGACAGTCAGACAATCTTATGCCACTACAAGACAGTCAGACAATCTTACCTGCCACTACAAGACAGTCAGACACTCTTACCTGCCACTACAAGACAGTCAGACACTCTACCTACCACTACAAGACAGTCAGACAATCTTACCTGCCACTACAAGACAGTCAGACAATCTTACCTGCCACTACAAGACAGTCAGACACTCTACCTACCACTACAAGACAGTCAGACACTCTTACCTGCCACTACAAGACAGTCAGACACTCTTACCTACCACTACAAGACAGTCAGACAATCTTACCTTGCATGATAACAGAAGCAGAAGCAAGGGGAGGAACTTTACATGCATGGATGGTAAATCGAACGAAACACCACCTCACTGAGCACTAAACAAGCCCCTGTTTTTTTTTTAATGGAAACTACACCTGAGGAACCTTCGCCTGCCTCCCTACCAACACCGGCACTGGATTCTATCATCTCCAAACCTACCTAAATAAAAAAAAAAAAAATCAAATCAATTCATTTAGTGTGTTATTAGGCCATGAATTTTGAATACCGAGCCATCCAAAATTAATTAAGGATCTGAATAGCCAAATATTACAGGTCTAAACATCAATTTTTTAATTCTTTGGGGGGTGGGCCAGACTGGTCAAATTTTCTATATAAAAAAGGTATATCAAAATAGATCTAATATATGATAAAAAAAGTTCTCTTGGGATATTTTGGGGAGGTGGGGGGAGGGAGGGGGGTAGAAGAGTGAAAAGAGGAGGAGAGATGTAAGGAGTGAGACAAGTTGGAGTGAGGAGGAAAGGAGAGAAGATAGGAGGAGGGGAGATAGGAAAAAAAACAGGAGAGGAGATAGGAAGGAGGAGAGAAAGGGTAGGAAAGAAGGGAAGAGGAGAGGGAGGGAGAGGAGGGGTAGGGGAGAAGGAGGGGAACACATGATGGCTCAAGCGAAACCCGCCTACACGCTTCGGGCAAGGCCATGCTCCCACACGCCCTATATGACTACACACCATGTATATATGCCTTCCATGCCCCCACACCCTATGTCTTCCATGCCCACAACGTCTGTCTCACATGCCCACACACCATATGTTCCTTCTAAACCCACGCACCCTTGTTCTCTTGTACCCATACCATGCATGGGTTACACATCCACATTTACCTCATACACACCCACACCATCCACATAAAAACACCCACGCCATCCACAACTACACACTCCCATAATAATAATAATAATAGTGAAACAGGTACTAACACGAACCATCTGACAGAATGACGTCACTGGCCAACTATAACACCATCAATTAGGTCACATACTGTACAACAAACGACACTAAAAACGGTTTATTTACCCAAATCTGGTTAATTAACAACCATATTTGGCAACTAATTCATGCCAATATAAACCTTTAACTAATAAAAAAAAATTGACATGATGTAACTGTGTGAAAAAATCCAGCATAAAATATACTTCCATCAAACACTTGAGTATGAAAGCAAAAAGAAAAATTACACAATATTTGATGACAAAACAGCAGTGAACATTTGAATATGAAAGAAAAACAAAACATTGAACATTCCAAAAAAAAATTAATAATAATATCTAATTTTGAAGGAAAAAAAAATACTGTAAAAAACAATGAAAAAACAAAAACAAAAACAATTCATGAACATTAATCACAGTCAAAATTCAATCACTAACATTATCACAATAACACAATTCAGAAATAAAACATATTATACCTATAACACACACCACACATACACCCATACACACCACACCACACATACATACACCCATACACACACATACACCCATACACACACACTGGTACTCCCACCCACAAACACACGTCTCCAACACACAGAAAATCAGTCTCCCTTACACAGTGTTGGATGGCACACACTAGTCATTCCTGTGTAGAGTACGGCACCAATACACCATCTACACGCTATGAATAACACAGCATCGAAACCCACCCCTTATACACCTAGTCTAAGATTATACACCTCTACTGTAACATCTGTGTATTGTATCAACCTTCAGCCATACTCATCCTCTACACCTTAAGAATGACACCTACACCCAACCTTACACTCCAACCTAAGCCTGAGATACACATATAAACTCTATGTACTGTGTGCCAAATAACTCTCCTCTAATATACTCTCCATACACCCTGTGGAAGAAGATGTATTACACCCACATCCCATCTTATACACCCACTTACACCCTCTGCTAAGTGTATCCCATCATCAAAACAGCCAATCAGAGGCCCGAGTGTATTTACGTTTTTTTGTTTTTAATTTACGTTTCAGTTCATTTTCTGGCAAATCGTCGCGGCGCTTGATGTAATGAAAGTGTTTCGCCCAGTTCATTCCCTAAATGGAGTTACTGCATAAATATCTCTTTAATGTTAACAAAAAAAAATGATGGAAAAATGGTAGTGACATGTTTGGAGAGAGAGAGAGAGAGAGAGAGAGAGAGAGAGAGAGAGAGAGAGAGAGAGAGAGAGAGAGAGAGGAGAGAGAGAGAGAGAGAGAGAGAGAGAGAGAGAGAGAGAGAGAGAGAGAGAGAGAGAGAGAGAGAGAGAGAGAGAGAGAGAGAGAGAGAGAGAGAGAGAGAGAGAGAGAGAGAGAGAGAGAGAGAGAGAGAGAGAGAGAGAGAGAGAGAGAGAGAGAGAGAGAGAGAGAGAGAGAGAGAGGAGAGAGAGAGAGAGAGAGAGAGAGAGAGAGAGAGAGAGAGAGAGAGAGAGAGAGAGAGAGAGAGAGAGAGAGAGAGAGAGAGAGAGAGAGAGAGAGAGAGAGAGAGGAGAGAGAGAGAGAGAGAGAGAGAGAGAGAGAGAGAGAGAGAGAGAGAGAGAGAGAGAGAGAGAGAGAGAGAGAGAGAGAGAGAAAGAGAGAGAGAGAGAGAGAGAGAGAGAGAGAGAGAGAGAGAGAGAGAGAGAGAGAGAGAGAGAGAGAGAGAGAGAGAGAGAGAGAGAAGAGAGAGAGAGAGAGAGAGAGAGAGAGAGAGGAGAGAGAGAGAGAGAGAGAGAGAGAGAGAGAGAGAGAGAGAGAGAGAGAGAGAGAGAGAGAGAGAGAGAGAGAGAGAGAGAGAGAGAGAGAGAGAGAGAGAGAGAGAGAGAGAGAGAGAGAGAGAGAGAGAGAGAGAGAGAGAGAGAGAGAGAGAGAGAGAGAGAGAGAGAGAGAGAGAGAGAGAGAGAGAGAGAGAGAGAGAGAGAGAGAGAGAGAGAGAGAGAGAGAGAGAGAGAGAGAGAGAGAGAGAGAGAGAGAGAGAGAGAGAGAGAGAGAGAGAGAGAGAGAGAGAAGAGAGAGAGAGAGAGAGAGAGAGAGAGAGAGAGAGAGAGAGAGAGAGAGAGAGAGAGAGAGAGAGAGAGAGAGAGAGAGAGAGAGAGAGAGAGAGAGAGAGAGAGAGAGAGAGAGAGAGAGAGAGAGAGAGAGAGAGAGAGAGAGAGAGAGAGAGGGGGGGGGGACATTTATGACAGGTGAAAAGACCTTCAGGTGAACGACTCCATCATGGGCAGAAACAAAACTATCCAACCACAACAAGGAGAACGAATCCCCAAAATACACAAAATAAAAAATAATCCACAAATGAATCAGGAATGAAAGTAAATACTGTATATGTAAGTAAATGTGAATATGTAAGTGCATAAAATATATATCAACAAATACTGGTAAATATGAATAATTTTGCATTAGTTCAAATTACATGGTTCTTCCTTAACTAGATAAGTTCACGTAACGCCTGATTGATTAAGGTACGGAATTTCCGCAACATAATTTTGATACTATTTATATCATCAATTTCAGTCATTAGGCTTTAATTAACCACATAAATGTTTCTTATATCTTTGATCGCTGGAAATATTCACCGAACATAATTATTAAGCTTTGCAATACAACATGGTGAAAATAGAATAAACGTACAGTAATTAGTTTACAGGTTCGCATAACAGTTAAACAATGCAATACTGTATCAATTCGTCTCCTGGTTTCCCACCCAAGAAAAAAAAAATATTCAATTCACACCCGCTGTAGCAACAATGGCGGCTGGATGCTGTATACTATTGAAAATAAACCTTGATTAATGCAAATTTGTGCTTTCAGCTTTTTCCACTCCAGTTTTATTAATCATATTATAACTAAATTTGTGCTGCATATAACACAATGTAAATATCACGTTTAAATTAAAAATCATAGTGACGTGTTATACAGTGATTCGCCCAGCACAAATATTTTTCATTACAAAGTCAAGGGAAATATTGGATCATGTGAAGATAAGGTCCATACCCCAGCTTATTTCACCTGATGATTAAACACCAAACACTATCTGGTTAAGGTGATTAGTCTTCAGGTGAAATAAACTGGGGTGCCTTATCTTCTGGTGATTTAAATACACAATACTTCCTAACAAACTTTAGAGATGAAATCAACAGAAATCCTATAATCACATTTAGATAGGTGAAGACAGAGTAAAAATCCATTAAATTATGGACTTATGGAGCCTAAAATACTTACACGTCAGGGATTATATTAAATTCTATGAGAAGTTTAAAGAATTAGAATTAAGGCAACACATCTCCATACACTAATACTATATGTGTTATCCTCAATGAATACTGTAAGAATTTTTACTCAATAAACTCAAATTAAACCAAAGCAAAGTTAAAACACACTGTGGGAGAAAAGACGCACTATCCTATGGTCTATAGGGCAAGAACGGGACATTATCTACCACAAGTCCTTTAAAAATTGACATACATAGCTGGGGGGTGATGGGGGAGAGAGAGACTTTTGTGGTCGAATGGGTGGGATAGTGGGGAAGGTGTCCGGTGCTGCCACAAATCCCACAGAGGAAGAGCCAACCACAAATTAATCCAGAGCCAAAATCCCAACACCAAATAACAGTGGACAAAAGTCTACCAACAAAATAATAAAAAACAAATTCCCAAAATAAAAATAGTCAAGGACCAGACCTCCATCAACTCAACGGTAGATAAAACTCCATCAAAATAGATCTGAACATAATCCCACCAACAATACAAAAGGCAAAATCCCATCAAAATAATATATAATTCCTTAATCCTACTACAGTACAGTATCTACCTAACCCCCTAATAATGTGAGCACTAACATCTAAAATATGACTGCTTTATGAAAGTGATGTTCTGCATTCATATAATATTCTTAAGCACAATGGCAAGAATGAACATGTGGCTGTACTTTAATAATGTGTTTTGTCACTAACAGGTCCTAATAAAAGTAAAAACTACAAAACATTACATCATAATTTCCTTCTTTAGTTTATGAGAAAAATAGGCTTCCAATGATGTAATGTACAAACAGTTATAAGAGAGACATTTCATACTAACTCTTCTTCACAGTCATACATGCTTGGTGTTCACATTCAATCACATCTTGAACATTTTCACACACTCACAAACAAGTTACAAATATAGTTCATAAATCATGACAACCTTTATATTTTGTACAGTACAGGTATATACGTAGTTTTGTATTAGTAACTTTAAACATTTACCGGAATGTTCTAAAAATGCTTATAAACAATACATATTCAACCAGTTTATGAATTATTTCTACTTCAGATATCAATCAGTCACTTGAAAGACATATTTATCACCTGTACACAAATCAATCTTGAGTTCGTTCAATCCCAATTTACCTTTTCTAAATCTAACCATACCTTATTGAAATGTAAAACAGTATGGGTAAAATCACACAAAATTGATCAAAATTACTACCGCTTTCAAAACCCACACTAATGCCCTAATATTTATCACTAGAAAAAGTTGTCTCAAAGGGATGGCAGTGGTAATGTGCGTACCAGTCACCAATAGGTCAAAGGTTTCCTCCAAGCTCAACAGTTTCCTCCTGTACTAACACCAGATAGACCAACTGCCCGAATGGCTTTTAAGCTGATAAGTGGTTAAATAATAAAGACCTATAATTTTCTTTAGATCCGCACTTCTATTAATACTCCAAATTAATATGACGCTCTCTAGATAACTCACTTAACAAGCAAAATATGACTGATCCTTTACTACAAAAAAAAAAAAAAGATTTATCCAATTGACTTAACACTCAAGACATATTACAGTATAACTTCCTCCATCAACATCACATGAGCTTTATCCAATTCCCCAATGTTAAAGTACAGTACACAGTGGCATATGCTGTACAATACAACCCTTGTCAATATGTACTGTATTCCCCACACCAAACTACAGTGTCAGGATGAAACAAACACATTTCAAGTCAATATAAACAGACTACCGTACCAGTTAAGTATTATACAAAAATGTTTGTAGAGTCGAACGATACTAATAATTCAAATTACGGAAGAGTGAGTGTTCTTAATGGTATTGCTTCATTCAACAGATCACCTTGACATATCATTTGCTAAATCCCAAATCAATGATTGTCTCTGAAAGGGAAACAAATCTCTTAAAGAAAAACATAAATACAATCTTAAGTCTATTTATGTCGTTGTGTAAAAGAATTATTAATAACAATAAAAACTAAGAACAAATTCACTAATGAACCATAAATCTTCTTAGGAAACCACGACTCACAATTCACCTATTTTCCCCCCATTTCTTATAACCTCTTCCCCATTACAGTACCTCTATCAAGTACCACATATACCACATAGAAATTGACTCATTTTCACTAAACCCTGTGCTGACAGGAAGCTTTCATCAACTTAAATTCCAAACAGGTCCATAAAACTTCCTTTCTCCTACAATTAATCCTACGCTAAAACTAGTCTACACAGAATTGGACCCTCTTGCATGAAGTTCAATCCAATTTCCAACATAATAATCCCATGCTGGTGTTCATATACTGTGATAATAGAGTTGAACCTTTAACCTTAATTTCTGACAGTGTATTTCAATCCCATGTCTTGTCAATCTTGTGCTACCAGGATGTTAAATTCATCAACATGATTTCTTGATACTGTACATTATCTGCATGCTGAGACTATCCTGTGAAGACTATCCCACACTAAAGCTATCCTGTTATGTGGTGTTGGTGTTTTGTTCATCATTTCAATTTCCGAATCATTATCCTATGGTAGATATCCTGTACAGTGGAGGGGTCTAGTATCAAGCTACCATATATCCACTGTGTTGTCTCCCACTAGCCAACATTGTGGTCTAAACATATTCTTCTTCTTTCTGCTCTATCCTTATAAGACTCCAAAAACGTTTTCTTCTTTCATTTTTCAAATATCAAAAGAAAATCACTTTAATTTCTGTCTGAAATTTCAAACTTGCTTCTTTCAATTCTTTCCATTTTCTTTGAATATCACCGTAAGTTGTTTTAGAACCCTTACAATTTTCATGTTATATTCATACCAAAATAAATTATACTTATCCATCAAATATTTTCTTTTTCAGATTTGGATGAAAGATCATAAAGGCTTGTAAACAATAAACCCAAATGAAATTACAGTAGTTGTATCATTTTCTCACAACACTCCATCATCTCTATACGCTAACAAGAGCGTTATACTCGATACTTTTCTGAAAAATGTCTTAAACTTAACACAGCACAGTACAGTATATATAAATAAATACATACAGTGCTCTAGATGGTTGGTTCAGGAAGTATAAGAGATCGAAAAAAATTATTTTACAAATTTATTAATCAACAGTATAATGAGTCAAGCAACAGTTTCGTACAGAGCAGAACGTAGGATTTTGAAATGTTCATATCATCAATCTTTCCCAATAGTAATCATCCTGTATTCAGAACATAACATGCCCACAGACACTTAACTAAACTCTTCAAGGGGTTCAATAGTAACTCTTCATATACACAAAACAAAGAGTGAGCAACAGTACAGACATGACCTCCTGGTTCACACTTACAGGTTCACACTAGGTAAATCTTCATTCATACCAACGAGATTCACATGAGTGACTCAGAGATGCACAATAATAAAACTTCCAGGATAAAACTTACCTTATTATGACTCATTTCATGCATATTACAGTATCAAAATATCTTTATATAATTATATAGAATCTCTTAGTTCAAGAATAACTACTGTACTTACAATTCAAATATGAACACATTGTGAAGACTGAATACAGAAGAACATGATAAGGAGCATCGTTGAATGTACTCACTACCAAAAGTAAAATATTAATGGGGAAACAAGCCCTATTCTGCATCCAATAAAATATGTACTGTACCAAGAAACAGATATTCCATTCCATATTAGCCTATATCCTGATGTGGTGGGCGTCAGTAAGCAAGAACATTTCAAATGGGGAAAATAAGATTTCATTAGGGTTAAATCTTATTTGCATATATGTCAATGACCGTTCGTTGACAACTTCACATGCAACCAGACTGAGAAGGAAATGTAATTCCAAAAGCAAAACAAACTAGAAAAATGGCTACAATGGGACAAACAATTTCACTGGACACATTACAAAGTTATCCAGTACAGTACCATGCTTGGCAATTAAAACTTAAATGGTCCTCAAGTGCAATATATACAAATGCAATCAAGTGTGCAAAGTTGCATGGTCAGATGTCTGGAGCCTTTGTTCCACTGGACACTCTTCCTCAGTAGGCTGTACATTAATATGAGTGGCACTGAAACTTATCCTAAGTCAAACAATAACCATATCAAACAGGCACATCCCAATACCAGCACCTTTCCTGCTACATACTGAAGCCTGAATAGTAATTAAGCTTCAGTATCAGGTATAACCGAGAGTACAATCTAACTTTATGAATAAGTCTGACAGTGACTCGTCAGCCTTTAGTATCAACACACTGGTCCCTCTCTTACAGTCGCTCTGCAGTGACCGCGGAGCAATGGTAAGTTACGTGGTCCTACAGCATATAGAACATGGTGCTTCACTTGCAAACATCCAACAAATTCCAAAACTGATCCAGGTAAGGGCAACCACAGCAATTCAGATCATTCTTCTGTTTGTTGATACCACCTGGAGCATTCTAATTTAATACATACCAGCTATGTCTGCACAAAACCTTTAATTTGTAGTCAATAATCTTACATGACAAAATTTAGTTAAAAGGATCATATAAATCTCACTTCATACAGACATTAGCAGAGGTTCAGAGTCGTTGAGGTTTACTCACGACATGACTTAAAGGGTTTTTCTAAGTTTTAATACTTGAAATTTTCTAAAAGTTTCAGTGACATAAAATATAAAAAATTCACATTGAATTATTACTGTTCTGCCTAAGTACAGAAGAAGATATTAAACAAGGAACAAGTGAGCATTTTATATCAAATTCCCACAATGCAAAAGTATCATAATGCAAAGTTAAGAACTTGTTTTGCAAAAAAATTAAGCAATTGAAAGCAAGATAAAAATGAAAGCATTAAAACTTATGTGGACAAACACAAAAGTGGCAATCGAGATACTGTATGTGTTGTATTTCCTGCAGGAGTGTGTGTCACGGAGAAGTAAACTAACGATTATCCAAGATCATATTAATGATAATCTGCCTAAGAGTACTTTAGATCACCATGGTTTCCAGAATGGTCCTTTTATTCCACTCATCACAGTAGACTGCATACATTAGGACTTTATTTGAAATTAAGTTCTGTGGTGATTTTTTATGGAAACTGACCCCTCCACTCCCACTACAATTACGTTACTTACAAAAGAAATTAAATAAATGTTGCTATTAATAAAAAAAAAAAAAAATCCAGGAATTCTCGCCTGAATCTATTTTTATTACACTCTTTGGTGAACATGAGTATGGGGAACACCCTACCTTGTTCCTCCCAACAAGACCACACACTATGTAATGACTGCTTGTTGCCATCCATCCATCAGCACTATAGTATTTATAAAAGAATCTCTCTCACTGGCTAATAGGTCATCTTCAGAAAGTTCAGGATATAAAAGACTTATTAGGTACAGTAGGATCATTCTGGTAAGACTATTGGGATTTCAGAGCCAGGGAGGATGACAGACTCTATCACTGTGCACAAGGCTGGTGTGAAGGAAAGAATCTTAGGGTCCTGGATCAAGCTGTCACATGTACAAGAATTTTACTGTAACAAACTGGTGCATTTGAGTTTGACTTATGGGGAGGAAAATTAATCACCGATCTACCTACCAGTATTTACTTTTGAAGAATTATACTCAATCCTTTCAAACAAGATTTTAATATGTGATGTCAGTAAATGATTCACTGGATGTGGCATGATTTTTCAAGTGTGTGTACATTGTGAGCTTTAGTGGGTTTTGTGTATTTCTGCTTAAGATTGTGCAAGATTATGTATTAATATCTGTCTATGTGCATGAACATACACAAATATGTGGATATATTCACATGTGGACACAGTTCTTGTTTGTTCTATTTGTTAAGCATGTAACTATACCTATGTTACATGACCACAGCATGCACTTATCTCTCACTTAGTTTCCAGTTATACTCAACTACAAAAGTTATATCAAGTGCACACAAGAATCTACAACAGATCAATGCTTACTCATGCTGAAAGGGTCACATGAGTTATTTATGCCACAACTCAACAATGGAAGGAGTTATAGCCTTCACATTTGGCATTTATATTCAACATGACAACCCCTACAGCTGCCATGTTCGAGGGTACAGAGGTCATAGGTCAAGAATATGGGACCACTTAACAAGAGATGGCACCTCGCGGGCAAATTCTCATGGACTGCAGTGTATAAGCTTGTGAGACCTGACCAACCTACTGCATCACACTCAGTTGGGAATCAAGTTTGGTTGATAAAGAGAATGAGAGAAATGTGCTCATAGTCATATAAAACTGTGAGGATGTAACCTAAATATATAATATAGTACAGGTATAGGGTTACAGTATCTCGATTGCAAAGAAAATGAATTAAAAATTTATGCTTTTCACATGAGCTGTGTGTGATATATTCAGCAGTGAAAAACAATGTGAGTAATAAGCCATTCTGCATGGAGTGTAAATAATATAAAGATAATTAAACAAATGCTTGTATTAAATGAATTCATCCATGTGAGTAAATAATAGCTGGTATGTAGAACTAATAAATGACAAAACTAGCCAAGGCATTGTAAGGGTCTAGTTGACTTACTGGTGACAGCCGTAAGAGACAACCAACACTGTCACAACCGTAACATAAATTCAACAGATCACAAATGAATAGTGAGTAAATCTAAATAAAACAAAGACCAATGCACAACAAAGGGGGCCTGGGGTGGACCATCTCCAAAAAGACCCACTAGTTAGTTACACATGTATAAATTCATTGTCATATATATGATGAATGAGCTTTATGCCTGTGTCAACTACTGTCCTTTTCCATTTATTCTATTAAAATTTTTGGGCCCCATAGTCAGTTAATCCTTGTTAATTATGCCTTATGTACAACCATTCTTTGACTTACAATTTTACAGAATTATATTCCTTATCAAATAATAACATAGTGTACTACAATTAGTAAAGTCAACGAGAGATTTCATTTTACTGAAGATGGTTTTACCCATTACTTCAGTCAAGGTGTAATTAAGCAAGGATTATCCCAGGCAGCACAACAATGACACGTCTTAGAAGCTCTCAGATTTGACCAGTGCAGAACTTCCTGGAGACACTCCAAGCAACCCAGAATTCTCAATCACTGTTTGCGAATTGTTGCCATCAACACCCTCTACAGGATTTGTGGCACTACTCACCTGACCAGTTGACTCCAGAACGCTGATAGGTTTGGCAACAGCAATTGACACAATGCCTTTTGGTGCTCCTTTAAGGGCTGCCACTGCTTGATCCAGAGTTGCATTTTCAAGATTGGTTCCGTTGACGGCAACCAAACGGTCGCCAGGAATTAGACGACCATCCTTTTCTGCTACACCCCCAGGAACTAATGAGCGGATCACAATAACAGTCTCTTGAGGATTTAGTGGATCCTGCAAAACAAAAACAAAACAATGTAAATATAAACCCCTTTATATATGAACAAATCCATTTAATAAAATTACTGTACATATGAATATTCTGGGAATTTTTTAGTCACAGCTCGAATATGAAACTAAACAAACCTTTAACAGCAGCATTAATAACACCCAAGATAGCTGCTGTAACAGTAATATTGGACACTGCACTCAAACAAAACCACCACTAGGCCAATTTTAATGTTAAATTTCATGAAAGTATATGTTGGAGTTTCTGAGATTCAGAGGAATGAAGGATGACCCACTATGGCCTGGGGGTTTGACGTGTTCTAACAGCTGTTAGATCTGTGTAAATTGCAGTGGAGCAGCTCTTTGACAAGCACATCAGAGTTGAGGCAATGCTTCCCACTCCTAGCCCAAAGGTTGTCTCATAGAGCCAATAGACTCGAGTACTGTACGTATAGTCAAAACCCTAAGGAAGGTGCATCCTTGCAGCCAGACAGGGAACCATACACTGAGCCTTCATATATCCTGCTAGTTATTAATCCCACTGAGGAAGGAGTGAGAAAAACTCTTACCCTTGGCTATGTACAGTACACTATTAAGCTTACATGCTTCCCCTGAGAGCTGTCCATATCAGTATACCCCCCAGTGCCACACAGTTTTAATGTGAAGGTTATTCATTTTACTCTCTTAAACTAAAGACCTTTGCTCAGGACTGAAATCCTCAGTGTAAAAGGAGTTTCTAAAACATCTTATTATAAGGTCAGACAAGTGTGATAATCCTCGAGGACCTTATGCTTGAGCAGTAGAGTACAGACTTAATGACTGAAGCAGGACATATAGAGTACTGTTCAACACATTTGGTCTTATCATTCATGTTACCATCTCCTAAGTTTTAAACTGACAACTAGGTGAGAGAGTGGAGCTTTATGTTCAAACTTTAAATTGACTCGCTGCTTACAAATAAAAGCATCTATTAGCAAATTCACATTACAACTTTAAAAAAGCTTAATAAATAGAGAATTTAATGGAAATAGTAACAAATCCAATACAGTTATTGCTTGTCAGTGGACGCTCAGGTGGACAGTAATATTTTAAGATTAACATAAAGTTGTGCAAGAGAAATGTAGAAAGTGACAGAAACTAGTTACACGAGGCAGACATGCTCTTCACACACTTGATCATACCTTAACTTGTATAGGCTGTATGAAAAGTGAATCCTTAGCCTTCATATCAAGAGGGAGAAGAAGTAACATTTCAAATACTGAGGAGAATGATGCACAAGTTTACAACACATTTAGTATGGATATAAAAGGAATGGACTTTAGAATGTTTATATCTGGTACATATGGTAAGTGAAAACCTAAATAAACTGGATGCAGCACTGAAAGCGATACTCTACAAAATGTACGATGGAATACTGAAGTGGTGTATGGATGTGGGAATGGTGCAAGAGGAATGAATGCAGGTAGTACAGGTATATATGCAAGTGGTGTAGTGAAAAAAGAATGTTGTAACTAAAATAAACTAAAATAAATGACACACTCTGCAATCCAATGATAAACCAATTAAAAATACTGCTACAATATCTATCTAATAAACAAGTAATTTCACACTTGGACCCCCACTGTGATAGACTTCTGCTACTGAATGTTATGCAATATACTAGTGAGTGTTCACCCCCAAACCTCAATGACAGTCTGACACACACATGTTCAGTTACAACCCCCCCCCCCACACACATATATACACACACTGCCCATGATCTAATGATTTTCTAAGCGGCCAGTGAAATAAATTGAGGGGATCATGGTAAGAAATTACTCGTATTTCAAGTTCTGGATTTTTAGCTGTTATATGGGAGACTGACATAAATATTCCTGAAACACTGAGAGAAAACTAATTGATCCCTTATGGAGTGATGCATGACAATCCAATGCTAGTCTGTGACACCTAGCAGAGTACCAATATGTAACACAATAAGAAACTATCAGTGCCAACTACCTTTATCAGAGTGCCAACATGTGACAGAAAAACACCAAAAAGCTGATATGGATCCGACCTGGTGTGTGAGTGAGCGAATATAAGAGTAAAAACTATAAGACAATGAGAGACATAAATGTTACTATCAGTACTAGAGGAAGGATGGGGTGAAGGACATAGAAGTGAGGAGGATGAGCATAGATAACAACAGACCATGATACTGAGTGGCTTAAGAGAATGTTACAGCAGGAAGAGTGAATGGATGAGAGTAAACAGAGTGTGTCTGGGTTTACTCTTGGTTCCAGGTGCTAAAGAGTATTGGAGAAGAGAGCTTGCAGTAATAATGTAAGTGATGATACCCTTTTAATGTCATGTGCTAGAATTACCGAGTTGGTAATTGGTAAATAAGAATGATCCATAGCCTGAGGCATTGATGGGGTGAATGGACAGGTTAGCATACAGTAAAAGAAATTAGGCCCTATTAACCATTCCTGGGTAAGAGATTAAACCTGGGTCTCTTGGGATGGCAGTCCTTAAGTATAACTGAGCTATGAAGCCCCAGCATGGTATTACATATTAATATAATAATTACCTTGAGAGTTTTCTGCCTTGATAGCTTCTTTAAATTGAGGCTCAGTGGGGTAGCCATCTACTAACTCTAGATAAGAACATTTGACTGTGTAGTGCCTTTTGAGGAGCTTAGACACTTTTGTTATATCATCCTTTGCCTTTGTGTAGTAAACACTGGTCAAGTGATAAATATTCTATTCTCTCTTGGAAAGTGCAATCTGAGTCCTTCAACATAAATTATTTGTTTAATGAAAAACACCTTTGGAAGAGTGTTTTCTAATAAGGTTTGGACCATTTTTCAAGAGGAGCGGTGAATCTGGAGGAGTTAACCCCTTCACTATTGGGCACCACTTTTTGTATTTTATATTTTCAATGCAAGAAGACTTTATTCAACTCAGAGAGGAACCCATACATAACAGGTTAACTGTATGAAAATAATAAGGTTTATGGCAGAAGTTGAAGTGTCAAAGAAGATGTAGTTTGGGCACGTGAAAAGACCGGACTGAGTACAACTAACATAAGTGTACATGCATTTGAGGAGTCACTACTGACGATTCATTAAGGGAATGACAAAGGTAAGCAGTACACATGCAAAACAACGACATATAATAGAGAATAAGTGAAGGTCAGCATGATCAAAGAGGTCAGAGGTAAATCAATATAAAAAGCAGGTAATTTTAAACAAGTCATCACACACTCACCTGATAATCAAGAATTGAGAAGCCCAGGCCTCTGTCTCCTTTTGTAAGTTCAATAATCTGGCAATCTGAACTCCACATTGCCAGGCCAGTGAGAGGCTCCAAGCTACGACTCTTCATGCGGTTGAAGGATGTGTCGTTGGTGGCTGCCGTGGCTGAGGAAGCTAGAGATCCATCAGATTTGGCCTTTACCAGACGTTCAGATCCCGGGATAAGGTTTTGCAGGGATCCACCAAGAATATTCTGAAATTTAAGAGTACATCTCAGTGAGTTGTTCTAGAAACTTGAAAAACTCTGAATAAGATTTTTATAGTTTTTACCTGGGGTCCTCAATGCTAATGTATCTCAAGAAGGTGAGCCTAAACTTGCCACAATTAATTTACACCACATACAAGTACTATAGAACCTCCCTGAAACTCACAATTGTTCCTACATCATATTATTTACACCAAACTTTAAAAACGTCCTACTTCACATTTCTTTAGTGTTTGGTAAGGGAACGCTTTAGTGAACAAACATGACAACCATATTTGTCTGATCTGGTACTAAATTCTCCTGACAATAGACTCAAAATTTAAAGGAGAAAAATTTTCACATATAAAATAACAATAGAAGGAAACATGAGAGAACAAACTAAAACACTGTACCAAAAAACAGGAAATAATATTCAAAATATTCATAATGTCTACAAGGTAAAGTATATACAGTAATACAGTGATGGCACAGGGTGACCCTCTCTAATCCGGCACCCTCAGGACCAGACCAGAGCTGGACCCAAGAATTTTCCCAACCACAGATGGTCAATATATTACTGTACCAAATATAATACAGTACAGGTTTGTGTACACACTGTGTACCAGCCTCAGGAAAGCTGGCCACCTAGCCTAAATGCTTGCCATAGCAACGTAGCCCAGTTGGGATGCTGCCTCTGCCTAACCCCTAGCAATGGGGCTCCCTCCCTAACTCTCATACCAAATGTTTATTCCTTTTATTTATTTATTTTTTTCTGCACATTCTGTATGTAGGATTGTGTGTGCATGAAACCGGGTAATAATAGTAGTAGTAATAATAATAGTAGTAGTAGTAATAATAATAATAATAATAATAAAGTTATGCACATATACCCAAAACAACGTCTTGAAAAATAATCATAACACCCCACGGCTCCGCCTGGTTGGGAGAGGACTTGGGGAATATGGCTACAATGCCACCAGCAATGTTAACAGATGCAAATGAAATTAAAATTCTGTAAATCTTAATTTGTCTCAAGTATTTGTAGATTTATAGTGAAAAAGGTATGGTAGGCAGGCCCAAAATAAAGGAGCTAACTGATAAGGTTAGCTTACTGTGAGCATATATAAACTGTACTGTACAGGGTAGCTATCATTCACTGTTAATGATCCATGGAACTGCATGAATATTAAACACTCAAATATATTACACGTACTGTATATAGTTCGACCCCTCAATTCCCATTCTTAATTACAACTATAATTTCAGTTACCTGTAATAAACAGTGTGAAGTGTTTTTATAACTTTAAATGTTACACTATTTCTCACAAACACCGAGATGTATAGCTATATAAGGTACCATAAAACAGGTGAAAGAGCCTCATGGGACCAACTCTGGTTTAACCTAAGAGACATCACACACTGAGGAGGATTGGGACCAAGTAAGAAAAGTCTGATATTACTGCAATCTTTCCCACTGACCTCATAAAACCTTTCCCTAAAACTACTAATGCACTTTACTGTTACTGATGATATTAATGAGTTCAAAATGTAAGAAGTACAGTAATAAATAAATATTAAATACACTGTAGTTTGATATTGTGATGATAATGTTACAAGCAAATTATACATGTAAATACTGTATATACAAACACAGCGGTGAATCATTCTTCTGCTTCATTATTACACCATCATGGCATCTTTTTTAATGCTCTCTAGTACTTTACACACTATGCTCGTCAGGCTCACTGGACTATAATCATTCATAGTGACGATCGCCCTTCTTGAATATACTGTACAACTCACATAAGCCTCACTGGGGACCTTTTGCTCATCCAGGCATTTACAGGACCTTAAGGGAATGAGCAAACTCGTTACACAACTTTTTTAATATCTCTGGGATGCACCAGGAAGGGGCCAGGACTCTTATGAACCTTTAGCTCTGACAATTTATTTCTTATATCCTCTTCTGAATTAAAACCTTTCCTTGCTTATTTCTTTTCGTTGAAGAATGTAAATGCCATCCTCTCGTCTTCTGATGATAATATTACCTCAAAATATTCCTTCCAATATTCCAATTCCTTGTCCAATATTACTTACTCTCAAAAATGAAAACCAAACAACAGTCACAGTGAAATTAATAGTACTCAATAATTTTACTTCCTTCTGCACATACAGTGGTCCTTCGGTTAACGAGCGCCTCGGTTAACGAGTTACCTTCCATAAGATTCTTAACTTCGGTTAACGAGCAATCCCTCGATTAACGAGTTTCTTACGAGCTGACCTCCACATGTTTTAGCTTGCATTTGGCGGTCCACCAGCTGTAGTATTAGGCCGCCAATACAGTAATCGGTTCTAGGGCTTAAATTCCTTACCCTTTTAGTAAATATCAAGAAGTTTATACTATTCCATAATTTTAAAAGTTTAATATTAAATTTTAGTCATTTTAACAATTATTGAACGTAATTGAAGGTAGGGTCACTAGTTTGTGGCACGCCATCCAGCCTGCCAACACAGCATACAGGCGTCAGTCTTTTTGTCTTTTCAGTGGAGGTAACATCTTGCTTGAGACTCTTCAACTAAATGCTTTTTTTCTGTGTTTACAAGCAAATTATTGGTCATTTTGAAGTTTATTTTACATATTGACAATATATAAAGCAGTGCAGTGTTGATTTAAAGAAAATAATCTTGAATTACACCAAGAGAACTAAAATTTGATGGGTGAAATGGCGCCATGGGGTGACTTCTCTTCCACCCCAATGCCTTCTCTTCTCCCTTCTCCTCCACCCCCATTCTAATTCCCATCATCATCCAGGAGCCTTCTACATACACACCTCAAAGTAAGTGTACCCTTCTACCTTTTTTGTTGAATTTAGGCAATTTTCGGTGAGCTGGAACCAATTACCCAAAAACCCATTGAAACAATGGTTTCGGTTAACGAGTAACCTTCTAGAACGGATTGTACTCGTTAACCGAGGGACCACTGTACTCACTTTCCTTTAACAGTTTAACACAGTCATCCACTCTCCATTATTTGTACAGTCTTAAGTACAAACACCAGAAGATGCCATAACTCTTCTTTAGACACAAGTACAGTAATGTCTGATAGCAATGAGGATTTTCAGGCATCTACAAAGTGTTTACTCTGTATATACATATGCCCTTATGTACACACACACCCTCAAACCATGTACAATACTCTCTCATCACAGTATTGTTCCCAGTGAATATAACATAGTTTATGCAACTAATTTTTCGTTTATGCATCTTTCCAACGCACGCACGCACACACACCTCAGCCTTCTTCGGGTAAGGACGTGTGCAGTCGGCGCTGCCCGCTAACGCGGCCGTGGTCTCTTGACCATGGAGACAGCTGCCAGCCCGGTCTGTCGGGCTCTCCCCTTCCCCATCTCCTCCTTCCCATCTGGATATATCAACAACCTCACACCAACAGTACAGTGCAAAGATTGACGATTAACCCACAAGTGATATAGAAAAGTGGCAATTTCAACTCGAAGGAAAAGCTCAAAAACACAGCAATACTGATTGTGACTGGATCTGACCTAACCTGACCTCACAGCTTCACCTGACGTAACCTGAAGGATGGAGCACACCTGCATTGCCCCAAGCTACTGTCCTGGCCACACACCAGCCCATACGAGCACGAACTGATTGCTACAAGAACAGCCCAGTCCCAACCATTGTAAAAATTAGCAACACCTAATTATTATATGTCATATTTGTATCACTTATGTTACTTGTACATCATTTGTAAATCAAGAGACCCATTCCCCAATTATGTAATTGTATATTTTCAGCCTTCCGGCTGCCATGCTCTTTCAATAAACCGTTAATTATTATTATTATTATTATTATTACACACACACACACACACACACACACACACACACACACACACACACACCACCCCACACCCCCACCCCCACACCCCACCCCACACCCACACCCACACACCCACCCACACACACACACACACACCCACACACACACCCACACCCCCACACCCACACCCACACCCACACACACACTTCCTCCTCCCCTTTCTCTCTCTCTCCCTACTCCAGTAATTTATGAGACTAAAATACCTACAAATTTTACAACAAAAATACACATGACTCCAATACATCTAAATAAATAAACAAACAAATATACAATACTTTAACTCCCCAAAACCAAACGCTACATAAAATACACTCAGACTAGAATAAATCCCAAACGTAAATACACCGTAAAAATTCTCACGTAAGATCTATACCAGTGACTAATGCCTGCAGTGACCTCATGGATCAAGGTGCTTAATCTCTCTACATCAACATACAACCAAAACACAAGATACTTCACACTACGACACATGGGTAATCACTCTCCACCCACCGTTGGTAGTGAGGCCAGACACAAGCAGGCAAATGAGGAGATAAGGAAGAGATAAAGATGAGAATTAAAAGAAAACAGAAAATAACAAGACAATTAAAATATTATAAAGATGAGATTTAAAACTAAACCGATAAAGAAATAACAAGAGACAAGAACTATAATAAAGATGATAATTAATATAAAACCAAGAAATAATAAGACAGGGAAATATAATAAAGATGAGAATTAGCATAAATAAATAAAGAAATAATGTAATGACAGGAAAAATTATACATAATAAAAATTATAATTAACATAAAGCAGGTTAGAAAATAAAATAAAGAAGGAAATTAAAACAAGACAAATGAAGAAATAATAAGAAAGACAAATAATTCTGGAAAATTTCACAAAATAAAATAAATCCTCCTTGAAGAACAGAGGCCATTAGAAAACCATAAATCACAGTGAAACCTCCATAATATAACGGATTCCTCTCTCCACATAATCCGTTTGGTGGGGGTTTCATCACAGCTACAGAAACGGGTGTGTTCCGCTACAGCATTCCCCATCCACAAGACCTCAAGGACATCCATCTCTTTTGTATCCCTGCGACTTCAGGCAACCCAACCTCATCCATCAACAGCATCCATCCAAAGCTCAACTACGAACCATTTACCTCCTCCCCTTTCATCTCCTCTGCTCACCTAACCTCTCCACTCAAGTCATCTCTCCTCTCCACTCTCTCTGCCAAGCTCTTCAGTCAGTCATACACACCACTGATCCTGATTTCCCATCCCCTTCAAATTCACTACCTCCTCCTTCCCATCCTGCCACCTTGTTCTCTCTCTCTCTCACTTTACCAGCATCACCCAGCTCTCTCTCTCTCTCTCTCCTTTCATTTACACCGCTCTTTATTCTACTAATCCTTCACTTCCCATTCTCTCGATATGTGTAAACCACCACAAACACTGGTCTCCTCTGTCAGTCATTATCTTAAACTTCCACAACTTCTTACTGCCATATATCTCATCACTGCATCACATTCATCTTGTTCTCAGGATAATGTCTCATTTTTTTTATCTCTCTCTCTCTCTCTCTCTTGTAATCATAGCTCAACAAATCTCTATATGCTCCTTCTCTTTCCCTGTTTTGACTAAAGTTTTCTCCCTGTACATTTCTCCATGCACTTATTACATTCTTTTCCTGAGCTACTTTGATTTATTACCTATTATTTCATTCTATCTTCATTCAGACAAGCAGTCATTCCTCCCTGTCTCCCTTCCCTTCCTTATCATTTTACCCTCACTTACCATCACCTTTCTCCTACTACACACTCCTCCAACCTTTGGCTACTTCACCCATGCATCACCCACTAGAGAAGTCATATAGCACCAGCAATACTCTCATCCTCCATTTGCTTCACTTATCACTGTCTATAAAACTTACACCCCTCTCATTAACTCTTGTCTTCACCTCCTTTACTGTCCATCCATGAAGATACTAAACCACCCACACAACACTTCACACCCTTCAATGTACTGTCCCCTCTGCTTATACCTGGCATGAGTGGCTAGTGTATTTTGTGATATGTGGCAACTCTTTATCCCAGACGAACTTATATTCATTTCTCAATTTTTTTTCTGTCATATCATCTTCCCCTTATACTGTACTGATATTTATCCGGTATTTGTCCCTCTTCTTGACATAAACTACAACTTCTGATATTTATTCCATCACTTTCCTCCCTTCCAAACTTAATATTTAGTGATGCCATCGCCCCCCCAACACCTTATTCAATCATTCTTAAACTTGCTTACAATTTGTTTCATATCATCACTCAAGATGACCGAAACAAAATCAATCTGCCTCTGTCTCATCTATTACATTCAGAAATACTCCAAAAATACTCCAAAAATCTCTCCTTTACTTCCTTCCTTCTACTACCACACTAGACTATTTTTTACCCTATTCAGTTCTTTCCCGTAACAGTCAAGAAAAGCTATGGTTCCCAAATTGATCACCGCTAGGGGATGAAACTTTGTCATGATGGTGAAGTCTGGCTGTAATACATTGAAAACAGAATATGAAAAAAAAAAAACCACATAAAAGAGTACACCAAGAAATTAAGTGTACAGTACAGTAAGGTATACAGATATTGTCAAGTGGGTCATCGACTAACTACAAAGGAGAAAATCCTTCATATCACTAAAACTGATCATGAAACAGGAGAAGCAAGTTTGCAACACTGGCTGTGAGACCTGTAATTCCCGACTTCTGATGTGAGTCATCACTTGAAAAAGTAAATTAAAGAATTCCTAAAGAGTACTTATAACCTAGAAGCCATCACCCCTTTGGTATGCCATGAGGTACTGTATGTGTTAGTGGGAAGACACGATGACTACAAGAAAAATACAGTGGTACAGATGAAAAGATGAAAGTAAAGAAAATACAGTGAGGAGGATGAGAGAAGCTATGTTCTTACAAAAATGTATTGAAAAAATTATGAAAAGCTCTATTTCATACGAATATGACAGATGGATATTTCAATATAGAAAGACAAATGTGATCGGTGACCTACCATTATCACACACAGTACCTGATATTCAATGGAACTTATTTCTTTCTTTCTCACTCCTGAAATCCACTACTGTATAGTGTACAATGGGCAGTGTCCATTACAACACATGCTCTCCTTTAATAGTTGTCATTCAACCTTTCTATAAACCTCACCACATGTGTTCTACCAGGGTCATCCTCCCTTCCACAATAGGTTTTATTCAATGTAATTCTGTAACTCACACAAAGACCCTGCCTAGCATATCCCACAGGACATAAGAGACAGTTTATTCCTGGACCATGGCCTAATGGGTGACATGTTCAGTGCACATCACAACAAATACCACCCCATCAACCCTTCTCAACCCTGCCGTGAATTTGGAGTTCTGAGCAATCCCGCTAATGCATTATATATATTTTTCCACCCTTACAAGCTTTTTCCTGCTACAGTACAGGAGGATATGAAGAAACAATAACAGCTTGACCTCGCCATTTGTTTGTCCCCTTTTGTTCTAAGTGCTACATCACATATGCTTAGTTATGTTGCTCCCTTACCCAGGATGTCCATCCAGCTTATCCCCACAGCTTTATATACTGTCCAACATCACACGTTATAATATCAAAAACCGATTTACATATGTATCATTAAAATTACTTATTATTTCCTTTAACATTTAGTTTGCTATGTAATATAATTTCCTCATGCACCAATACTATCTTATTTCATCAAGCAATATTCAACTTGTGGTGTCGGTACATCATGTATGCTATTTCACACACACAAACACAGACTGTGAGCAAGGCGACCAATGCATAATAGTTTGTTAGCATTCCCTGGCATCGCAACATCTAGGTCACTGATACCAGCTGATGCCAAACTTTCCCCCCAGCACCACATTTGGTTACTGACCCTCTCCACACCTGACAACATCAAAGGCCCCAAAGCAATAATTAAAACACTTATAAGAATTTTGAACATTGGTTTGCCTGTCACATAAGCAGTTACCATTTGCTGAAAAGAACAAAAAGGGAGAATGTGCAGCAACAAAATGAAAGCAGCTTCAACAAATACACAAGAATACTGAAGGAGAGGACCAGATAAAGCAGCAATAAATGAGACAAAAATTAAATAACTCTCCCCCAAGCCACAACTAGTCTTTATATATTGGTACTGTATAGGTTAAATTTTCTCCATACATTCCTCATCATATAAACACTGATATAAAACAAGTATTTTCCCCACACTGCTTCCTACTTCTATTTTCATAACTCCATCACACACCAACATTTTCATTTCCACTCAAATCAATATTCAATCTCAGCGCCCTTATCTTTAAATTACCACTGTCTAAATTACCATTGAGTTTTTAAGCTCAGCTGCATATGTTTCTGATCATTTAAAATAACACTAAGATTTCTAGTATTTGTACAGTATCTATCACTGTAAAGAATACACACTGCCAATTCCCAAGTCTCATACACAGTAGTGGGTGACCCTGAACATTACATCAGTACCCCTTGCACACCAGCCGAGGGAGAAAACGGACTCTCCTGTCTTCTATATTACTCCATGCTAGCTTCCTATTGTATACTTAAATGAGATGGTTGCAATCTATATTATCATAACAAGCCATTCCTTATATTATTCCCTAGAGACCAAATTTACACCCAGACTTTCTACCCCTGGGAAGCAACTACAGTATCTTCCTTTCGCAGTGTTAATATATTTTTCTTCATAATAAACTACTCTCTTCTGTCCCCCTCTGTATTCCCTTCCCGGGAAAACAACAATTTCAATTTCTTGCATTCTATTTTAAGCTCTCACTCCGGTACCTCCACATTTTGTGCAGTAAAAGTAATTGGAACCCAACACCATCACAAGGTTAAAACACTACCAATCTGTTTTCCTTGTACAATAGTCTGAACATTTACACCAAATACTTTCATCACAAGACTACCTGTACCACTGAACCCCCAAAGTAGTAGCAGTAGTAGTAATAGTAATAATAAATAAAATGCAACAGCACTTGGACACACATTATATAAATTACTACAATACCTTGATTATTACCAGCAATTAAATACACATAAAAAAAAATTAAGTACCAGTTGCTCAAACACAAAATCTAAAATGATATGTAAGCTACAAAGCATGAAAACAATTAGGAAGGCATTGAAATAGAAATTAAAGTAAGAAAACCAATAACAGAAAAATGCCCACCCTAGCAGCGAAGGCATCACGATCTGCTGTGGGCGCATCAATGGGGTGTAGAGGTGGGGGAGCTCCTGGTGCCCGTCGACCACAAACTAGACGCACATATCGAGGGAGTTCCTTTAGGATGCCAACAACTTCCACATGGTTCAGTCCCAGTAACTTCTGACCATTAACCTGGTAATGATACCACAGTCAGATACTGCACCATCTTATAGGGGGAGCTTCATAATGTCTCTACTGTACGGTCAAACTTAACACTTGTCTACCACCGTTGTTGTTGAGTCTTGTCACCAAATGAACAACTGACAAATGAAGTCTTTCCCTGATAGTGTAAGTGTACAAATATAAGACCATTCTTTACACACACACAATATACCGGTACCTTCATTTACCCTGATCAGAGACTACTGTACACAACCTAACAAAACAAAACTTTATTCCAGCATGTGTAATATTCACTAGAAGACTAATGACAGATTATATTAGTATGACATAGTACTGTATATAATATTATGTCACATTAGACATGTACTGTACTGTACTGTACTATATAAAGATGTATAAATACTGTATTGACAATTGCTTAAAATTAAATTATATTTTATATAAACAAACTTAGTGAGTTCAAAATACTGTACTGTATATGCTTGGCAAGTTAATTAGGTATCAGGATTAAGCCTTTACCAAATAAAAACTTTAATGCACTATGTAAATAATAGTACCCCTGATGGGCACCACTTTAATGATATGGACTTGAAAAATGATAAAAAACAAACATTTGTTTGCAATATAAAATAATGTCAATCTCTTTTTAATGAAATATGATAAATAATATAACTATTAAACTACTGACAATAATGAAAGCAGAGGCTGTCAGGTGTCTGGGCCAAACGCAGTTGACAAAAAAATACAAATTTAAAATGCAATGAAAACACGAATGCCACTATTGCAAACATTTGCATAGGGAGTTTACTGGATAATAATGGTTTCCATATTTCGTCAACTATGAACATTACACATGCTTTTTCAAATTTACTCTACCCGAGCATTACCGAAAACTCTAAATTAGTTATAATTTTAGTGTATACGCTAAAAATTATATTATAAAATGAATCCTACACAATTTGGAATATTTTCAATGTCACAACTTTATAAAAAAATAAAAAAAACAGCCTCACAAGATACTTCTAAAATAATTATATAATAAAAATAAATCCCCAAATCTCATTAAATTTTTCCTGCCACAGAGTAACAATGAAGGAACAAATGATACCTCAAGAAGCTCATCACCGCTACACAGGCGTCCATTCTTTCCCACGGGACCATCAGGCAGGATGGAACGGATGTAATGGTGAGGGCGAACTTCCCTCCCACCTTCCACATCCACTGTTCCTTCTAAGCTGATGCCCAGTCCACCCCCTTCTTCAAACTTGCTTAGCTGGGCAACCTGAAAAACAAAATAAAGCTTGAGAGATCTTGTCTGGTTTTTATTTCTACAGACTTAATTTACATAAGCAGGCTCGTGCTTTAGGTGCGTCCTACTCACACTGATGCCTCAAACTTGTAAACTCTTATTAGTTTTAATCCTGGGGTAGGCATAAAGTTGTCCAGGGTTATTTCCCAGGAAACTTGTTAAAATCAAAGAGAAGATTGTCTTGCCTTCTCCCTACTGCATCTTGGTGCCTCCCAATGGAGCCCCCAGCTGAGCATGGCCCAAACTTGCAAAGTCTCATCTCAGACTCGCCATTTTACATACAAAGAACCCTGAACTAGTTTTTAGTTCAACAAGAAATGTACAAGTCTGTATTAACATATATACATATAGTTATTACTGTTTGGACAGTTTTACTGGACTTCATACTTCACAGAACAATACAGTACTGATCAAGTTAAGAGACAATTTGTGGAGTGCAAGTTAAGTATAACTCAATGTATTATCCTCAAGAATGCCAGCTTGAATATCAATGTGTAATTTACACTCATCAACAAACAATGAACTGTATGTCTATCAAAATGCTTCACACCCTCAAGGACGACACAGTCCTCTACACCCCCTGCAGCAATATATAATACTCTACTGAAATGAGAGTATCATTTATGACAAAAGGAGAGTGAGTCTTGTTTTGTTCTGGATACAAACTTTAGATGGATAAAGAGATACAATAAGACAAATGGACTGACAGCACCAACCTCCAGGCATCACTGACTGGAGGACAATAAGTGGAAGATAAAGCAGTTCTACAGGCCAGGGGTTAAGACACAATGACCAGGTTTCTACACTTGTACTCAGTAAGGACTCATTTTAATATTACTGTACTGTATTAATTTCCACTGCAAACAAAGAAAAATCCCCTTAGCAGTTTCAGAGAATTTACAGAACTACAGACTCCAGGCAAAAGGATTAGCTCAGCCCAGAGCACTGATGTGGCAAGTGGCCAGCACAACACAGCACCACACAATAACATCCCACCAACTCTCTCTGGCTGTAAAATAAAACCTCTGTCTCATTAACTGTGCGTCTAGACCACTAACAACTGAGTCATGAAACATTTAATACTGTATGCAGTACATGTACGGTATACAGTATATTTAAATATATTCCCTCATTAGGTGAATTTATGAATCTTAAGATTATGTTTATCTATTTCCAAGACTGATTGAGCAGAACAATGAATACAGTAATGTGGTAACACGCATGAAGACCTGTACTGGAAAACAAAATAAATAATGTGAAGTTCACTAAAAGAACACTAACTGCCTAGTCCCCAACACCTGCCAAGGACTGTTCACTAATTGGTTTACAAACTCACTGATTAATAAAATAAAATAAATCCAGTTGCTCATATTATATTAAGGAAGAACAATGTTATAAGTGAAGGGATTTAACTAGAGTTTACAGGTGTCTCAGGCAATACTTAACTAAATGTCCTCTTGTGTAAAGTCAAGAGTCACCCCATTAGAGGTCACAGCCTCAAGTTGAAGAAACAATCAACACAGAACAATGTTGGGGTTATTTCTTTGCAGTTGGAGTTGTGAAAATGTGGAATAATCCAACATTAAAAGTTAAGATATCACCAACGCAAGCTTATGCAAGGCCAGACTTAACCCACACTTGAAAATGGTCAGGTACTGTACAGTATATTCAGAGATACCATGCATGCCCAGTACAGTACATTACACCACTGAGCCGATACGTGGAAAACAGGATAACTACCTCAATAAATATACAAGCTTAACCATGAAAATCTGCATCTTAACAACTAAAGGCTTCAGGTGTTTTAGTAAATTAGCCAATCAGGAGCAAGAATGTCCCCCCTCCCCCCCTAAAAAAAGTTATCGAAGGTCTCCATGAAATTATAAACACGAAATTAAAATTAAATTCTTTATATGATTTCCACAAGGCCAAAAAAATTTAATCAAACACGAGTCATAATGTAGTAGCAACATGGAGGAGATTACCCATTACGTATTAAGCTACCGAAGGCATCTAAGCAAGAACAAACATGTACCACAAGTCCACTGAGCTATAACATGGAAACAAAACTTGATGCAATACTTTAATCTGAACACTGTAAGCCAGCTCCCATAGTGACCATTTCATCAAACATTGTAGCCAAACAAAACTCACAGTTTAGTTACATATGAGAGAGAGAGAGAGAGAGAGAGAGAGCGAGAGAGAGAGCGAGAGCGAGAGCGAGAGCGAGAGAGAGAGAGAGAGAGAGAGAGAGAGAGAATAAACAATCTCAACTTACGACAATGAGAGAGAGAGAGAGAGAGAATAAACAATCTCAACTTACGACAATCTCAAACTCTGGTCCGACAGTCCTCGACCATTTTCGCTCAATAGCATTTTCCACAGAGGGTCGCAGCTCCCCGGTGTAGTTGCTGTCTATCATCAACTCAATGTCTTCAAGGCGTACATCGGAATTAATGCCAGAGGACAATGGAGGGACATCAGATGACAGTTGAGGGATGGCGGATGACAGCTGAGGCACATTGGTGGTGGTCGCATAGGAGGAGGTGATTCCAGCAGATAAAGCAGGATGCTGTAGCGGCTGGTTCGAGATGGCGGGGAAGGTAGGCACGTCGGCGATGATTGTAGACGAGGAGGTAGGTGGGGAGAGTGCTGGGTTGATGGCCTCCATGAGTGAGTCCTCTCCACTTAGTTCCAGTTCACCAAGAGCCGAGCGTATAGCGTCACTGCTCGGAAGCTCACCCAGCTGTTGGCAGAAATAAATACATTAACCTGATTGTAAAGAGTACGTTAAGTGGCCATCTTTCCTTCAGTCTAGTACCATACAACTTAAGTGGTACTATTATCAGTATAAGTTGTAATGATAATATAATACTGATTGTTCACATATACTGCATGGTGAATTTGGTGAGTGTTCATATACAATAGTTGTATGTATGTACACATGCATTCATGCCATACAACATACACCAGTGAGCCTAAGTGTGCAGTGTATGAATCAAACAAAAACTTCACGAATAAGTTTAACACAATGGTAAAAAATGGGTAAAACGTGGGAACAGCATTAAGTGGACGCAGCATTAAATGGACGCAGCATTAAATGGACGCAGCATAAAGTGTACACAGCTTTAAGTGGACACAGCATTAAATGGACGCAGCATTAAATGGACGCAGCATTAAGTGTACACAGCTTTAAGTGAACACAGCTTTAAGTGTACACAGCATTAAATGGACACAGCATAAAGTGTACACAGCTTTAAGTGGACACAGCATTAAGTGGACGCAGCATTAAGTGGACGCAGCATTAAGTGGACACAAAATTTAGCAAGTTGGTTTAGATCCGTGACACCTCCAATCATACCAGCTGTGAATGGGTACCTAGCCTTAAGTTGGGGGTGGAGTAGATTAGGGTGGGGTGCAGTAGATTAGGGTGGGGTTGGGATAGGTTAGGGTGGGGTGGGGTAGGTTAGGGGTGGGGTGGGGTGGGGTGGGGTGGGTGAGGTGGGTGAAGTGGGGTGGGAGGTGGGGTGAGGTGGGTGGGGGTGGAGGTGGGGTGAGGTGGGTGGGGTGGGTGGGGTGAGGTGGAGGTGAGGTGAGAGGGGAGGTAGGGTGGGTGAGGTAGAGGTAGGGTGGAATGAGGTAGGGTAGGGTTGTGTCAGGTCTGGTAGGGTGGGGTGGGGTAGGGTATTGAAGCCAGTCAGGCAGGTGCATTACCGGTCACATTACCACCTTGTATACAAAGGCTTAAGTGCTTGGTGTGCTGTACCTGTATTGCCACTAATGGGACCCACTCTCACTGGGGTAAAAGGTACTGCAAGGGAAGAAATGTATATGAAGGAAAAAATAAGAAAAGCAATAGGTAAAAACTTGGGAAAGGGCAATTAGTGACACCCTGATGCACGGATATGAAACAAGCACTCGAGGGAATAAGAGAGAATGAAAGAATAAGAGAGAAGAATGAGAGAAGGGAAGAATGAGAGAAGGGAAGAATCAGAGAACGAGAGATAACAAGAGAGAATGAAAGAATAAGATTGAGAGAGAGAGAGAGAGTGTAATTGAGACGAAGGACTCCTGAGAGAGCTTGAAGGATCTGGAAGGAGCTGTTACATCCTTCACACTCACGGGAGGAAGATGTATGTATGTGTGTGTGTGTGTGTGTGTGTGTTAAAAGCAGTCCTATGTGTTGGTTTAATACATATATACATACATACATACATACACATACACACACTCACTCTAGCCTGTCTCACTCTGGGCTGACACTACCACACCTCTCGTCTAATGATGCACATTACTGCGTCAATACCAACATCCAGCCGCTAAAATACTAGGCAATTACATTACCATAACATCACGCAAACGACACCATTCACAATATTTATGGTCTTAATGCACAAACTCTGGCAAATGAAGTTACTACGACCAGATTTCACAGTGATTATATGTATAACGATACGAGGCAGAATGTATAAATGATTCTACATCGACTATTTATAGAAAACTTTAAAGTATTATGTAGAATTAGATTACATTTATAATATTAAGTAGAATTAGATTACATTTATAATATTAAGTAGAATTAGGTTACATATATAATATTAAGTAGAATTAGATTACATTTATAATATTATGTAGAATTAGATTACATTTTCACCCCCAAGCCCAGTCACCTGTGTTCCTTACGGCTTATATTATCAATACCCAACAGTAGTGTCCAAAGGTAATTTAATAATGAATTCCTGATCAATTTTACATCAATCACAAAAAGACAAGCAAAAAATCCACCTAACTTGATATCTGTCATCTACTTAAAACATATACTCTAGGTCATATAATGTGATTGAAAACCTAACCTAACCAAACCTTATCTAACCTAACCTAACCATAAGTGATTAAACGGCCTCTCATTGCACATCATAACAAAATAACCAGAAAAATTTAATAGAAAAAATATAAATAACTCCCCCTTGCCAATATGATGCTCCATTAGACGAGATATTGTCAAGTGTGTCCAGGAACTTCTGACTTCAAGTGTACAATAAAGTTTTCCTTCCAGTCTTATTTATACTTTTAATCAAACTTTTATAGATGAAAAGTTGTTGTAGTATTATGATTTCTTGAAATAATACTTTGTATTACTTGATAAATAACCTAACTAAATTAACCTAATCTAACCAAATATAACCTACCCAAATTAACATAATCTAATCAAACGAGCATAACCAGACCAAAGTAACCTAACCAAACTAACATAACCTAACCAAACTATCCTAACCTAACCAAACGAACATAACCTAACCAAACTAACATAAACGAATCAAACTAACCTAACCTAACCAAACTAACATAACCTAACCAAACTAACAAAAACGAATCAAACTAACCTAACCTACTCAACATAACCTAACTAGCAAGTTAATAAAGCTAATACCACCATAATCCACTAGCAATCTATTTTGAATTCCCAGAAGCAGAATTTCAAGGAATCTCAATAATTATTTTTTATTTATTTTTTATTTTTTTTTATTTTTTTTTTTTATTTTATTTTTACATTTTGATAAATATAACAGGCCGTGTGGAATGCTTAGGTTTTTTTTTACCATACTGACCCGTATTGGCTAAACTTAAAATAGATTATCACCTCAACGAGCATGAAATTACAGTACGTGGTATTCACATAACGCAATGATTATGCTAACTCAGACGGGGATTCTCAAATATTATGGATGTTAATTTGGAGCTCTGGGTTGGGTTGGGTTATGCTGAGTTGGGTTGGTGTCAGCATATACTGTAGAGCCGTCAGCATATACCCTGTAGAGCCGTCAGAATACACCGTATAGAGCCATCAGCATATAGAGCCATCAGCATATAGAGCCATCAGCATATAGAACCGTCAGCATATAGAGCCATCAGAATATAGAACCGTCAGAATATAGAGCCGCCAGCCTATAGAGCCGCCAGCCTATAGAGCCGTCAGCCTATAGAGCCGCCAGCCTATAGAGCCGCCAGCCTAAAGAGCCGTGACAAACAAGCGACCTTTTCTAAAATATTAAAGTCCGTCCTGAATTATGGCCCCGTTTTTAACGATGACTTCCTAAATAAAGTACAATTTATATCATCCCACCGACACTAAACTTCCAATTTACCTTAAAACACACACACACACACACACACACACACGTCAGAACACACACACACACACACACACACACACACACACACACACACACACACACACACACACACACACACACAAAGATCCCCGAAGTTAATTTCATCCCTTGACTGGTGTTAAGAAGACGTGTCCGAACGGGGTAAAAGTTTTTCACCAATTTTAATCCATTACCGATGACGAATTTGTTTATTTATTTATTTTTTACGTAATGGAGCCAGTTAAATGGGTTCGTACATATCCATTTACAATTCATAGTATGATTGTTGGAGAATTTAACGAAAAATCTGAGAATTTAACTAGTGAACCTTTAAGGAATAAAGCTAGGAATTTAACAAACGAATCTTTCAGACTAAAATAAAATAAATCCTTGAAAATTTAACAAACGAAGCTGATAATTAATTTAACTTACGAATTTAACGAACGAATCATTAAGGCTTCAACTATCGAATCATCTGATAATTTAAATGAATGAATATGAGAAAACACAGGCAACTTATCGAACGAACACCCAACCTCTCTCTCTCTCTCTCTCTCTCTCTCTCTCTCTCTCTCTCTCTCTCTCTCTCTCTCTCTCTCTCCAATCGCTTCCCGGGAGATGAAAATAATAAGAAAAGTAAGAGCCGGATTGCGCTACAGTTTACACACCACACGAGGCATAAGACCTGTACCCCTCAGACCGTTGTTTACTAAGACCAAACACAACCTCTTGTTCGTGTTTACAAGTTCCATATTTCCTGAGGTATGTATTGACAAGGGGGGTGGGGTGGGGTGGGTGAGTGGGGGGGTGGGGTGTTGGGGAGTGAGGGGTGGGGTGGGGAGTGAGGTGGGGTGGGGGGCGTAACATGTAAGTGGAGACAAGGAACAAGTGAATATTTCGGCCAGGGGAATATTTTTTAAGCGGGAACTACCATATTGGAATGCACGAGGGAAGGGTCCGGAGTGAGGAGGGAGGTAAGGGCCAAAAGGTTAGGAGGGAGGGAAGGAAGAGGTGAGGGAAATAGGAGGGTGAGAGGAGTGACTAAAAAGACGTAGCCCATATATCAAGGGCATGACACTGACTGATGGGCATCGTAATGAATAGCTTTCCCACTGTGCTTATTCTTGCGGGGAAGGGAGAGAAAAAACACTATGAAATGTAAACAAGCAACACTAGGCTTCACAACTTCATGTGAGGGGGTGAGGTGGGGGAGGTGTGGGGGTGAGGTGGGGAGTTATTGGGGGTGTGTGGGGAGGGGTGAGGTGGGGGTGTGAAGGGTTGGGGGAGGTTGAGGGTTGAGGGTTGAGGTTAGGGAGAGGGGTGTACCAGGAGGGTGAAGGGGTTGGAGGAGGGTGAGGGTTGGAGGAGGGGTGAGGGTTGGGGGGTGAGGGGTTGGGGAAGGGGGTGAGGGGTTGGAGGAGGGTGAGGGTTGGAGGAGGGTGAGGGGTTGAGGGAGGGTGAGGGGGGGTTGGAGGGTGAGGGGTTGGAGGAGGGTGAGGGGTTGGAGGAGGGTGAGGGAGGTTGGAGGAGGGTGAGGGGTTAGGGAGGGGTAGAGGACTGGGAGGAGTGAGGGAGGGAGAGGGTGAGGTGAGGGA